TTTATTAATTTATGGGACCCATCTGTATCCTGAGGCCACTGATAGTGGACCAGGGATAGCAGACTCCCTGACTCCTGTGAGGGAGGCAAGGCTGTCTTTAATTAGGGAGGGATAGGCAAAGATGAACAGTATGTCTTACAGAAATGTACCAGGTCAGCTTGTAGGCCCTCAAAGAAAGCAAATGGATGTCTTGGAGTTTTTCAGGGGCTGAAGTTTTGAGGGATAACAAGTTTTCATTTAATTAACTCAGAAAAGTAGCAAAACTCCTTTGACCAAGAAATGTTCAACGTTTAAGGCCACTTGCAAGGTTAAAGATAGGGAACCAGACTCCCTAATGTGCACCTGCATCCCTCAGGGATGGCAAATTTCCTTGAGGCAAGAATAAAACAATGATTTTCTGGAGAACTGAACGTTAAACTTATTTCATAGGCAAAGAGACAAAGAAATGTGGCTTTGATCAATCATGTAAAATGAGGTAGCATTACAGAATAGGATTAATTAATTATGCAATAGAATCAATTATAAAATGATACAGAATTAATTTAATTTTCTCCCCTTTATAATTCTTCTACATGTTTTTCTACAAAGAATCCACCCAATGTACTTTTGGCCTTCTTATAGGTCTTAGGATGTTTTGTGAGTACTAATTGGATTGTCTATCTGTTACCCCTCAGTTGTGCAGACTACTGGCCCGATTCCTTTTCCAATCAGATATTTCTTTTTTTTTCTTTCATTTTTAGTTTTTTTAGTTTAGTTTTCTTTCATTTTCAGTTCCAAATCCTCTGCTTCCCTCCAGCCCCTCCTCCACTCATTGAGAAGGCAAGCAATAGGATATTTATTATACATGTAGCTCACCTCTCAAGAGTAGGGCTTACTATTTTCTCTAAGACTGGTGTTCTAAGACTTAGAATCATAGAGCATTATTGGGAAAACATTGGTATTAAAAAGTGGAATCTTTGCTTCAGAGAGCAACTTTGGATAGATAAAAGCACTGTGTGATTTCCCAAATATAGTACACCCCACCCTCTTTCTTATATCACAGTTCCAAGCTCCAAATCATTGTCCATCTTTACCTCATTGAGGAGGTGCTGTTCTATTCTGAGGCTTGGTGTAGCTCAATTTCATCTACAAACAAGAGCATCTTGAAGTTCTTCTCATCTATAGAGAATCCCTCTTTCATTTGGGACCTTGATACATAAACAATGGTGAACAAATGCTTTTGGGCTGTATACATTACACTATCTCACTTGACAGTAATCAGAAGGTAATTGGACAGTTATCTCTGGATTCTCTTAATAAGAATGTTATGTGACATGCATGAGAGGTGGAGAGCCTTTAAGGCTGTATTTTGCTCTGTGAATCAATACCTTTTGGGAGATTAGGAGGAATTAATAAATAATAAACACAGTGGGATCTTACTGCTTTTGTTACCCTGACCTCTAACCTGTGCCACTAGAGCTCATAAGCCATTCAGCTCTGCATTCCCTAGGATCTAGCATCCTTGGCTTCACAATTATTTTCCTCTTCCCCCTTCAATTCCCCATGTAATGGTTCTCAGCTGAGAACCTTGCTTCATATTTTGCAGAAAAAATGGAGGCTCTTCACCGTGAGCTCCCCTCTTTTACCTTATTCCTCATTTCCTGTAACTCACATGCCTGTCTCCTCCTTTATCCTTGTCTCACAAGATAACATGGTCTCATTCCTTACCAAGGCTAACCCTTTTACCTGCTCAAGTGATCCTGTTCCATCTCCTCTGACAGATTCCCTCTCCGTCATTCCACTCTTTCACTTACTTTCAATCTCTTCCTGTCTACTGGCTCTTTCTCCCCTACCTACAAACATAGCCATGTCTCCCCAATCCTGAAAATATCCTGACTTGATCTTTCCATATCCACTATTGTTTTTTATCTTTTCTGGCCTTTATGGCTAACCTCTTCAAAAAGGCCTGCCTCCACTTTCTCTCCTCTTACTCTCTTACAATCTGGCTTCCGACCTCACCATTCCACCTAAATTGCTTTGTCCAAAGTTAAATTACCAAATCCTATGGCCTTTTCTCATTCCTCATTCTCCTTGACCTCTCTGTAGTCTTTGACGCTGTTGATTACTCTCTCCTCCTTGATACTTCCTTTTTTCTAGGTTTTGGGGACACCAGTCTCTTCTCCTACCTGTCTTACCCCTCCTCAATCTCTTTTGCTGGATCTTCTTCCAGTTCATGCCTTCTAGCTTTATGTGTCCCTCAGGGCTCTGTCCTGGGCCCTCTTCTCCTCTTCCTTTATTCTGCTTCACTTGGTGATCTCATTAGTTCCTGTAGATTTAATTACCATCTCTATACTGAATATTCTCAAGTCTGCTATCCTGCCTCAAGCTCTCTGCTGACCTCCAGCTCTCATTTGCAATTGCCTTTCAGACATCTTGAACTGGAAATTTAGTAGACATCTTAAATTAAACAGGTCCAAAACAGAACTCACAGTTTTTTCCCCCTAAACCCTCCTCTCCTCCCCCCTCACTATTATTGTTGAGAGCAATACGATCATCCCAGTCTCTTAGGCTCAAAACCTAGGTGTTATCCTTGACTCTTTATCTACCATCCCTCCTATCCTGGCTATTGCCAAGGCCTGTCAGTTTCACCTTTAAACCATCTCTCCAATAAGCCTCTTTTTCTCCTCTGACACTGATTCAACTCTGGTGCAGGCCCTCATTGCTATAGGCTGCTGGTGGGTCTGCCTGCCTCAGATCTCTCCCCACTCCAATCCGTTCTCCATTTAACCATCAAAGTGATTTTCCTAAAGCACAGGTCTGACCTTGTCACTCCCCTGCTCAATAAACTCCCTATTACCTCCAGGATCAAATACAAAATGCTCTGTTTGGTATTCAAAGCCTTTCATAACCTAGCTCCCTCTTACCATTCCAGTCATTTTATACCCTACCCCCCACCGTGTCTTTGATTCAGTGACACTGGCCTCCTTGCTGTTCTAGGAACAAAATATTTCATCTCTTGGCCCTTGAATATTTTCTCTGACAGTCGCCCCTGTCTAGAACGTTCTCCTTCCTCATCTACGTCTACCAGTTTCCTTTAAGTCCCCAAAATAAAATCCCATCCCCAAACTCTCTAATTCAATTGGCTTCCCTCTATTAATTATTTTTTATTTTTCCCGTGTATAGGTTATCTGTATATATTTGTTTGCTTGTTATCTCCCCCATTAGATTGTGAGTTTCCTTGAGGATATCAACTGTCTTTTGCCTCATTTTGTATCCAACTACTTAGCTCAGTGCCTGGCACATAGTAGGCACTTAATAGATCTTTATTGACTTCTTCCAGCCACTTCTAATTCTTTAAACAGTACTTCAGGGTCGGATTTGAATCCAAATTTGGCAAATCCTGTTACTGATGATTAAAATAAATTGGTGTAGAAATACAAATAAATTAGTTCTGTTTTCTGATTATATGTTGTCCTTGGACCAGGAGTTTTGCCTGTGAATGCTTTAGTGGTAATGTGTTTCATTTGAGTTACATGCCAAGCTTTCTGTGGACCTGTTATCATTTCCAGGGAGAGTATCTTCCTGACTTGGAGTCAGGAAGATATGAGTTTGATCTCATGAATTTAGACACTCTTTTTGTGAGTACAGTCTGCCGCACATCCATGGACCTTCTCTCCCTGTAAAATTCTTGTTGGTGGCTTTCCATAAGCCTCTGTGGAGACTCTACCCACCATGTTTCAACCATGCAGATAACTGAATAGAATTAGTAGTCACATACTTCTGAATAATACTGCCCAGTTAAGGAAATCCCTTGATTTAGAAAGGAAACATCAATTTGGACACATTTTCAAAGATAAGATATAAGTATAGATTAAAAATATGTTGTGTTACCACAAACTACTAGAAAGAAGAAATGGAAAGTAGATCTAGTTGGCTAATCATTATAGTAGCAATTTTAGTGATCAGTTGTGCCTGTGCCATAGTACAGATTTTCATATTAGAAAAATATGATGTTGTTATTATGACAATGAATTGAGTAATGTGAATAATAAGGCTCTATTAGCATGAATGAAAAGTAATGGTAGACAAATGTATCTGGACAACCCCTATGAACCAGAAAGATTTTTTCCTGTCATTAATCTTAACCATCATTTTTCACAACAAAATGGGGACAACATGGTATGCTGAGGAAAGATTGATGTATTTAATGAGCACAATAGTCTATCAATATAGTCAATCAATCAACAAGTTTTTATTAAACCCTGGCTAGTTGCTGAGGATTCAGATACAATAAATGAGACCATTCCTACTGTCAAAGACCTTATATCTGAATGGGGAAAGACAATAGGAAATATATAAATATAAATAGAAGTATAAAGCAAATAAATATGAAGTAGTTAAATATAAGGTAATGAGTTCAGAGATTTAGGAAAAGTTTCACATAGATGATGACACCTGACTTGCATTTTTAAGGAAAAGAAGAATTCTGTGGGGTTGAGATGAGAAGGGAAGTATGTTCCAGGTATGGAGGATAGCTAATGCAAAGGGGGTGAGCCAGGTGATGGAGTGCCTTGTGCAAGAAACAGGATGAAGAATTGAAGCTCAAGGAAGAGACTAGGGCTGTGTATATTAAAAAAGCTGGGAGTCATCAGCATAGAAATGATCATTTTACCTATGGGAGCTAATGAGTACACCAATAGAGAGTGTAGAGAAGAAAGAGTTGGGGGCCTAAGAAAGAGCCTTGAATAATACCCAGTTCGGAGGCATGACCTGAATGATGAACCAATAAAGGACCTTGAGGAGGAGTAGTTAGGCAAGGTGGGAGGAGAATAAGGGAGCAATGTCACAAAAACCTGGAGAGGAGAGAGTGAAGAGTGAGATGAAGTAGGTAGGTCAAAAGGTTTATGAAATGTTATGGTTCCCAAAGCCACGGGAATAAAGGGAACATGTCTTAAACATTTGAATTTGATTTTGTTTCAGTTCCTGGTTTATCTCTCTTCCTCTCCCCCCCCACCCCCCAGCACCATGCAAAGTTCTGAAGGAAATGGATGTAATTAAGAGTTCTCAATCAGTCTGTTACTGCTACAACCGACTGGCCCAAATGGAATGGAAATACATTTGGTCAACCATCCAGGTAAGGCTCTTCCTTTAAATCATAAACACAAAGATGAAATACAAGAACAGAAAACAGATTTTGTAATAGGACCACATTTTGGTGCTGAAGTTGAACTGCCAAGTTGCTGCTGACACTGTTCTCATCATTGGGTCTGCCTTATTCCCAGTGCTGAAGAACAGCAGAGAACACAGCATACATTGGCAGCAGCAGAATTATCATGAGTTACTTCTTACGGAGCTGTCCATCACCATCTGCTTTGCTCTATAGCAGATGAGTCAGGAAGGATCTGAGATCTGATACTGGTCCCTTTCTAGTAGGCATTGGGAGGAAGGGAGAACTGGTATTGTTTCTTTACTTAAAAAAAGATTCAATCTCTGCTTTTTACTCTATTAAAAAACATGAATCCTGCTCTCTTATAGACCTAACAAATGCCTCCCATCTTTTATTATCTGGTGCTGTATCGATTAGCAAAATTATCAGAAAAGGGAATGCTTGCCTCCAGTGTGTATCCTCTTATTAAAGCACATGCCTATGGAAAATTCCTAGGATTTCAGTGTCAGGATACTATGTTTTTTCTTCTTAATCATCTGATCCCGGATTCTCTTTGTAATGCTCCATTATTATTGGCTTCTGTTTTAAAGAAACTGACAACTAACACTCTCTCTCTCTCTCTCTCTCTCTCTCTCTCTCTTCTCTCTCTCTCTCTCTCTCTCTCTCTCTCTCTCTCTCTCCCCCCCTTCTCTCTCTCCCTTTTTTGATAGGTGAAAATTACCAGCTCAGACATGCTCAGCATTGTCTTTCCCATAGAAGAACATGATTGTCAGTATCCAGAAACTATCCTTGCTTTTATCAAGTGTACAATTCATGTCTTTGGAAAACCAAAGGAATCTAAAGATATGACCATTAATATTAATCCATATAAGAAGTCCGTGTGTTTCTATGTGAAGTCTGCGAAAAAAATATTTCCCTATACATTGAGGGTGAATCGAAATAGTAAGTTGAGTTTTTCTAATTTACATAATAATGATAATATTTAATCCAACATTTTATCATAATTAACTATCTAGATTAAACACTTATGAGGTAACATTTGAATACATTTTGCCCCAAATCTTAATGTTTTCTTGTGTTTTTTTAAATTTTTAGTTGTGGATGCAAAACTCTTTCTTGTGTTTGTGACAGGGATATTCCTGTTCTTTAAAGCAAAGACCTTGAGTAGGTAAGTGAAGTTTCTTTATTAATTTTATCAGTGAGTATAACTTGAAACTTTAAAAACTTTCAGTTATCTTTATTTTATCAGTTTCATATTTTCCAAAATTCACTTAAATTCAGCAAATTTTTATTAAGTGCTAACTGTATACAAGTCACTGTGCTAGGTGGATATGTCACCTCCAGAGCCTTACAGTGACTTTGAGGTTGATTCTACGTACTTTAGAGAGCTATGTTTCCTATTTTTGCTCGTTTGCAAGTCTTCCTTAGTACTCATTCATTCATTCAGAGAGATAAAATTACTTGCTCATGATCATGAAGATATTAAGTGTCAGAATGGTGACTTGAACTCAATTCTTTTTAAATCCAAGTTTAAAGCTTTTTTTTTTGTGATAACACAGTGCAGCCAAAACTTATTTGAATAAAGGATGAAAATTTCTTTGCCACCTCTATGCCTTCACTCTTTGTGTCTTGCCTATTAGGAAAGGAGCTTTTGCTTTTAAATATATTGTATAAATAATTGAAGCTTATCTCTTAAAAGACCAATTTTCAAAAATTTAACCATTTTGGAGGTAAGTCTTTGTCAGATGATTGCTCATTTTCCTGTTTTATCAAACAGAGCATATTGTACATAGTTTAACTTTTCCTACTGACTCAAGGTCATAATGAACATCAATTATTGTACAGTATATTTTCACAATCTGTTCATTCTTTTAGAGGTTTTGGACCCTTCCAAAAATGGTTCCATGGCGCTATGCTTTTTTCTTTTTTTCCCGAGGCAATCGGGGTAAAGTGACCTTGCCCAGGGTCATACAGCTAGCGTATCATGTGTTTGAGGTGTGATTTGAACTCAGGTCCTTCTGACTCCAGGACCAGTGCTTTATCTACTGCACCACCTAGCTCCCCCTGGTGCTTTGCTTTTAAAATTATTTTGTGTATGTCCTATAATTCTTCTATCTTCTCTCTCCATAGTTGAGTATTGCTTCCTGTCAGTGTGTCCTTATGGCTTCTATGTGATGCCTATTTCATATAGTTCATAGGTCTTAAATCAGTAGAGTTGAGATAGATTCCATGCCCATCCATCCTAGGGAATAAAAACATAAACTGTGTGATAACTAACATTCTTTCCCCCCCCTCCTAAAAGATCTTTTTGCTTTGTGTTTGGGGGTATGTAATAGGTGACTGAGTTTGCCAGAACCCTGAGCTCTGAATAATTGGATCTAATTACATTATGACCCCAATCCTCAGCCATTTCTAGTGAGAGAACATTCCCTGCTAATATTTTAGTTCTTAGATGCCCATCCTGCTTAACATATTAATAAGTTGTAAATTTTAACTCTGTCTCATATTTCATTTTAAATATGTGCTATGTTATGCATCAATAATATATTGCTATTTAACATATAAAATCACAGGGCTTTTGCAAAGGCAAGCAAATAATAGTAAATTTTAGTCACTGGTCAAATTCCTGTTAAACAAAGAGAAGCATGTTTAGTATGATCTATCACTCGAGTGGTAGTTTTTCTTTTAGGATTTTCTGTTTGACTGCCCGAGTATGGTTCAAATGTCTGTGTTTTACACTTGAAAATGACAGTTATCAGGTAAATAACATCTGACTGTTTGTCCTTGACAGGAGCACTGTTTTCTATTATTCTGCGGGAACCGTGCTGGGCATTCTTATGACCTTAGTCTTTTTCCTGCTGTTCATGAGAAGATACATTCCCAAGGTAGGTGTGCTATTTATGAAACTAAAAATGGAAGTCTTGATGTGCTGAGCATCAGGACTTGGGTGGGGAAAGGTTATTTCATTCATTTGATCCTACCAGTTCCTAATTCCATACTGTGTTGCCTTATTCTAGAAGCTCTTTAAAATGTGTGGATTTTCAACATATGTAGTAGAAAATCTCATTATTTTTTAGCAGCTGAAATAAGTTTATAGTTTTGATACTCCTTTTGATACTCTGTCTTTCAGGTAATCCTTTTTTTCCCTTTCAGGTAAAAATTAAATTCCACACTAAAATTCTCTCCCGTATTGAAAAGTGTGGGGCATAGCATAGCATCATCATTAAGGCTTTAAATTACAGTTTTCCCACACCAGGCCATGTTTTCCTTGGTACCATGTCACAGCACATTTTCATAACATCTTGGTATGTGTTTATTTAGCAATCAACATGTCTTCATTGTTATGGTGGGGGAAAGGATTTGATATCAAAGAACCTGAGTTCAAATCCAGGCTCCTCCACTTAACTCCCTGTTTGATATCGGATGAATCACTCTACTTGTCCAGGCTGCATTGTCCTCCTCTGTAAAATGAGAGATTGAAGAGATCGGGGTTATTAACATTTTCTGTGTCACAGATCCTTTTGGCAGTCTGATGAAATCTATGGATTCCTTCTCAGAATAATGTTTTAATTGCATAAAATAAATTACATAAGATTACAGTTATTGACTACAATACAATTATATTGAAATATAGTTATCCGGATATCTAAAGAAAAAACCAAACAAGTTCCCAGACCCCAAGTGAAGTATCCAGGGACTAGGCAAAAGGTGTAAGACCTATCTAAGTCTGCACCTCTGTGGCCGTGTTGCAGTTGGTTCAGTCAAGGCCCTCAGAGACAGCATCTGTCTCATCAAAGCTGATAAAACCTACCTCTATCCTAGTTTAGGTTGAGACATCAGGGGATCCATAAATTCATTATTGTAGACATTCCCCCAACAATGCAGACCACATGCCATCTTTGCTTTCTCATCCAGCAGTAATCTCATCCGTAAGTCCTATAACACAGGTCATTCTCCCAGTGTGCTGGTGGCATTCCTCTAGGTACTAATAGAATACATGAGCTATCTGTCAGTAACCCTTCGTTGTCCCTATATGATTACATACATTTCTCTGATGACATCTTTTATGGCATTTCTCCCATTTAATTCTTCCTAGTTCATGTGTTATATAGCCTGTTTGTGCCTGCTGGGTGCCATCTGTTGCCCTTTGGTTTTGGAGATTGTGGTAGTCCATGGCTCACAACCATATAGTACCACCTGAAGAATACTGTTTAAAAAAGTTAAATCTTGGTTTCGAAAAGAAGCTTGAAGTCATTAAAATCCCTGTGTAATTGGGTGGGAGCAATCCAGACCATGCTTCTTCTCTCCTTCAATCTCAGCCTGTTTCATTGTCTATCTTCAGTGTCTCCCCAAGATAACACTTTTGGATCAGTCAGTGACTTAATCAACAAACATTTAGTAAACTATGTGCCATGTACTGTGCTAAATGCTGGGGGTGTAAGGAAAGTAAAAAAAAAATATCTGGTCCCTGTCCTCTCAAGGAGCTCACATTCTAATGGCGGAGACAACATGTTGCTATCTAGGTATATGCAAGATAGATAACGGTTTACTTAAAAGAAATCTAAAAGGAAAAAACCTAGCAGCTGGGGAGAGGAGGAAAGGCTTCTTAGTAGAAGATGGAATTTGAACTGAGACTTGAAGGAAACAAGGGAAACATAAGAGGCAGAGATGAAGGGACAGAGTATTCCAGGCCTGGGAGGTAGCCAGTGCAAAGTCACCAAAATGGAGCTAGTCATGGGGATCAGCATTATATGTTGGTGATTCACTAACCCTAACCTGTTTTATGTATCATAGCCTGGAAAATAGATATTCCTCATCTATAGTAAGGCCAAACTCTTTTGAGTGATTATGAATGTTATATAGGGGCTTTGCAGAGATCTGGGGCTTGATACAGTCAGCACAATGTCATCAAACAGCAGCCTCTTGAGGAACTCATTCTCTAGGGAATCTCTCTTCCATTTAGACTCCATCTTGGACATCCTCCATGATGGTGACAAATACCTTTGCAAATGTGTCTTGATTTTTTTTAATGCCTTTTTTAATATGAGTTATCAGAAGGTTGTCAACCAAAGAGCTTTTTCAATACATTCTTCATAGAATATTATATTAGTTTGACATATGCCTAGAGGATGTCTTTTGGGAGGAGAGTCTTCAAGGCTTTATTCTATCAAAATACATTTTGGGGGGGGGGTGAGGCAGTCGGGGTTACGTGACTCTCCCAGGGTCACACAGCTAGTAAGTGTCAAGTGTCTGAGGCCGGATTTGAACTCAGGTCCTCTTGACTCCAAGGCTGGAGCTCTTTCCACTGTGCCACCTAGCTGCCCCCAAAATACATTTTTATCATCAGTAAACAATGGGTACATTGTGATCTTTATATTCTTTATACCTTTCCAGTCAATTGATAATGAAGTCTAATGGAACAGTGGTTTTCATTGAAGGATGAATAAATTGGAACCTTCTTTATCTCTTTCCTTCCACACACAGTATAGCACCTTTGGGGCCCTCATGGTTGGTTGTTGGTTTGCTTCGTTTTACCTCGTATGCCAGTTAATGGAAGAAATAAAGTGGCTCTGGTATGAAAACAAAACATATGTATTAGGTAGGTAAATTGAAAGAAACATATAGACTCTTGTATTTGTGAGACTGAAGAGAATGCAGAGGGATCGTCCTCATGACAGTTTTGGATATTAGAAAAGGCAAGTTTTTGAGAGCCTGTGATACTTCAAGGGGCTAAGCTCTCATGGAGGGGGAGAAGAGCTCCCTTCACTAGCACAGGTCACAAACTTTCTAAAATTTTGGAAGCTGTCTCCAAGAGCTGCTCTGGCTTTGCAGTTAACCTGGGGATGAACCTGTCCTAGAAGTTAGTCATGGTTTTAGAAATGAAGGGAGACCTTTGAGGTCATCTCACTCATTTTACAGTTGAGGAAAGTGAAAACCAGAGAGGATAAATGACTTGCCCATGGTGGCAGAGCTGGGATTTGAACCCAGATACTCTGATTCTATAGCCAGTGTTCCTTCCATGACACTACGCTGCCTCCCAAGTGTGTATCTGTTGTCTAAGGACCATCCTAACTGTTTGGAAAAGTTCATCATGAGGTTGGTCACCAAGTAATGACATTTTTTTGACCAAAGCAACTCAAGCTTCCACCAAGGGCATAGATTGCAGTCTGCACCAGGAGTGGGAGAATTTACCTACACTAATGACATAAGTAACTTGAGGCACGGTGCAGAATGGGGAATCATCTTGGGCATTCATACGAAAAGAAAGTTAATGCTGGGTTCAGTTTTTAAACTTTTGCATACTTTAAGCACTTAACTTCTTACATGAGAATTTAAGAATACCTCAGAAGGACCAAGCTGCATCAATTGATGTGGTGAATTATTTTTTTATCCATAAAGCAGAGAAAATAAGAGAGAGGATGAAAATTTTTATTTCAAGGTAAAATTTTAATAATATTCTCATGTCATTTGACACAACTGGTTCTCTTACTGTTAACCCACAACTCTGAAGAGCAGTTTTACCTTCATAGTTAATAAAAGAAAATCTTGGGATTCACAGGGGGTTGTTACCCAGAACTTTCAGAGTAACAAGTTGGTTGACCTGAGAAATAAACTAAGATGTCTGCTGGCATGGAAAACTTCTTGGATGATTATAAAATTCAGTCTTGCATCTCAGAACAGCCAGCCAGAGATACTTTCTACCTTCATGATTGGTTTCATCTGGCACTGACAAAGGAAAGTGAAAACATGGATTTCCTAACATTACACTAATGTACGTGGTGTCATCTCAAACCTGTGTTCTTTGTATGTAGCACCTGGGGTCAGGTTTTCCCCACCATTTTCCAGGTTCCTATACATGTGCTGATTTTTCTACCCTCTTGTGCTTTCCCAGGCTACATTCTGACCGTGGGATCCATCAGCTTTTCTGCCTGTTATAGACATGGGCCCCTCGTCAAAGAAAGGAGCATAAGTATCTTGATGTGGACGCTGCGGCTTTTATCCTTGGTCATGATTTACTTTGGTGTCACCACAGCCCAGGTTGCCTATGCAGTGATGGTTCTCCTGATTTCTTCTCAGGGTCTACATTATCCATTCAGAGCTTTCTTTTGTGTGGGCAGGTTAGTATATCACTCCAGTGAATTTGACATTGTAAACCATGATGGTTTAAAAATACATGTAACATATGTAACATATATCATATTGCTATGTGATATATGTATATATGTGTGAGTATACATATATACATACATATTTGTTTTTCAGTCATGTCTGACTCTTCGTGGTCCCGTTTAGGATTTTCTTGGCAAAGATACTGAAGTGGTTTGGCATTTTCTTCTGCTCATTTTACAGACGGGATTAAATGACTTCCCCGGGGTCACACTGCCAATGTCTGAGACATTTGAACTCAGGAAGATGGGCCTTCCTGACTTCAGGTCTAGAGTTCTACCCACTGTGCTACCATATATACACCTACATATATGTACGTGGGCGGGGGGGGGCGTACCATTCATCAGCACAATTATTCTCCCTGCCCTTCTCTTTCCTTGATCTTTTTACTCTAAAACAGCAGGAAGTGGGGGAGGAAATGCAACAGCAGAAAGTGGGGGAGGAAATGCAGGAATTTGGTTCTTTCAGTGCTTGCCTTTTTATTCTGTGTATTTCTCCCATTTACTAAGAAATTGTGTCTTATCCAGAATGCAGTGACAGTAGTCATTTGAAATCTTTCCTTCAGCAGTTCCTTAGTGCTTAGAACTGTTGACTGCTTTAAGATCAACATGTATCTTTCTGAAGGAGAAACTAGTAGATGCAGATTCATTTTGCAAGGAATTGAACATTTAGTAGTCCCTTCCCTTTGAATTTTAAGTTTAACTTTTAATCACTTGGTTGTAATTAAAAGAATATAGGATGTGCATTAAGAAGTAGGTTCCAATGCTGACTCTCCCATTCTAACTTGTAACCTTAGACAAATCTGTGGATTTCTCTGGCCCTCAGTTTGCTCATTTATAAAATGAAATTGGATTAGATATTCTTTATGGCAGCTAGGTGGCACAGTGAATAGAGAGCACTGGGTTTGGAATCAGGAAGATGAATCTTCCTGAGTTTAAATTCAGCTTTTTGTTTTGTTTTGTTTTGTTTTTTTGTAAATTCAGCTTTAGATACTTCCTAGCTCTGTGACCCTGGGCAAGTCACTTAACCCTATTTGCCTCAATTTCCTCATCTGTGGATGAGCTGGAGAAGGAAATAGCAAACCATTCTAATATCTTTGTCTAGAATACTCCAAATGGGGGCACAAAGAATCAAACACGACTGAACAACATAGCAATGGTCCCTTTCAGTTCTAAAATTAAATGAATCAGTGATTCAGGCAAAGAAAGACAAGATGGCTGGTGCATTCCCTACCATTAGCTTCCATGTTCCCATGAGATCAAAAGAACATCAGGAGCTCTATCCTTAGTCTAGGGTAGCAGTTCTCAAAATATGATCCAAGGGCCCCTGGTGGGTCCCCAAGATCCCTTTCAGGGGGTCTGTGAGGTCAATACTATTTTCATAACGATACTAAGATGTCTTAACCTGTAGTAGATATAACCCACATACACAAAAACTCTTTTGGAGGCCTTCAGTAGTTTTTAAGAGTGCAAAGGGGTCCTGAGACCAAAAAAATTGAGAACCACTGGGCTAGGGCATGTAGGGGGAAAATAGATGCAGTGGGTGGGGAGGTAGTGAAAGGCTCGGGGTGTGTGTGTGTGTGTGTGTGTGTGTGTATGTATGTGTGTGTGTATGTGTGTGTGTTAGACCTGACTCCCAGTAAGAAAATTCGCTCTATCAATGCAGATCCAGCAACTGCTTCTCTCTCCTGTTTTCTCTACTTCCTCTTTTCTCTCTTCCTCCAAATAGATAGAAAAATAGAGATGACGGGTGGGTAGGTAGGTAGATAGATGTATAGCTAAATAGATGATGAATGGGTGGATATAGCTACTGATGGGTGAAATCCCCACCACCACACACACACACACACACACACACACACACACACACACACACACACACACACACACACTTACACATACAGCCTCAGAGCCAGAAACACCCTAGGGCAGTCCTGTTTCTTGACACATATTCTCTGTGTGGACATACCAGTCTGGCCAAGTCACTTCTTAATGCTCTGAGCAATTTTCTTAAGACTATAGGTTGTAGAGGTGGTGCTGGCCCACGTTGTTGGAGGGTGTTTCCTCCATCTAAGAGTTCCCTATTCCAGTGAACTCACAGGTCTGTCCTCTGTTCTACAAATACACACATATACGTCTGTATCTCTTTTACAGGAACTTCAAGCCAGTTAGCACCAATAAAAATATGAGTCTGAATAAATACAATGTTATAATATCTTACATAGAAATAGCTACCTTTCTATGAAAATGCTGACCTGACAAATTTTCCCCCACTAGGATTATTCCAATATGTGAAATGTGTGATCTTAAAATATAGGACTGTTAGTCCCTTTGGCATTACAGTTTACCTTACCTCCCATTAGTTATTTAGATGTGGTTTTGATAATTATGTTTATGCAGTTTTTCATTTAGCTAATTATATATGAGCAGTTAGATGGCTTGGTGGATAGAGTTTTGGGCCTAGCATTGGGAAGACCCAAAATCAGATGCAACCTTAGGCACTTACTAGCTGTGTGACCCTGGGCAAGTCACTTCATCCTGTTTGCCTCAAGTTTTCTCATTTGTAAAATGAGCTGGAGAAGGAAATGGCAAGCCACTCCCATATTTTTGCAAAGAAAATCCTAGATGGGGGTCATGAAGAATAAGACACAACTGAAACATCTAACAACAATAATTATATGTACTGCTTCTGGAAAGCCCAGGAGAAAACATGAGAACCTATAGGATAATCTTGTGCTTTGCCATGTTCTATTTAGAGGTTGTTTTGAAATAGAGGGTTTTTTTTTTTAAAGTTAAATATATTATAAGCATTATCAAGCATTTTTTTTCTCCTTCCCACTTCCCCTACCAACCATGGGCTATTTTTTTAAGCAAATGATTGTCATCTACTTACAAAAAAAAGAAAAGATAAATTAGTCTTTGTTAAATCTGAAGGAAACAAAGGGAACATTTTAAAAAAAACTCATTGATTAATGTAATAGGTAACTTTCTAAAACCTGACCATTGCTAATTTTTAAAGAGTGTCCCCTTCAAGCAAACTAGATTGTGGCCTTATGCCACCTGGATGTGGAGGACACACAGACATCTTGCCCCCTTCTCCCCTCCACTGGCATTACACAGACTCACTACCACCAGTGGAGGCTATACCCCACAACATCCTGTAGCTGGTAGGCCCCCGCCCCTTTTTTTTAAGCATATGTGATTTGAGGAACTTATGGTGCCATATTTTTTCCTACTACCTACTTGTTTCCTGAATAAAGATTTCCTGAGTGTCCCATTTCCCTAGTGCTGCTGGCCTGTTTCTTTAATACTCCAGGGAAGAATCAGATCACATGTAGAAAAGCCATTATTTTAAATTCATGATGATGAAAAATCCTAGAGGAAGGAAAATATATGTTTTCTGAATCTGTGCTTAAAGTACAAAAATGAAAACCTCAAGACCTCATTTGTTTACAGGTTAGGCCACAATGGTGGTGGTGGTAGAGACAAAAGTATAAGTAGGACCCAAACTCTGTATCTGGTTTGAGACCCTGAAAATCTCAAGATGATAACAAAAAAAGGAAAACTATAGATAGTGGAAAGCAGGGGTTCTTAACCTTGTGTCTGTAAACTTGTTAAAAATACTTTGACAACTGTATTTCAATATAACTCGTTTCTTTTGTAATTGGTTTCTTTATGTATTTTTATTTGACAGGGTGTCCCCAAAGTCTCATTGAAATTTTAAGCATGAAGACTTTTGGAACTCCCTGTGCATTTAAAAACATGATGAAAAGAAGTCCATAGGTTCCACTGGACATCCAAAGGGGTCCATCACACACACACACACACACACACACACACGCACATGCACGCACACATGATTGTAATGGCAGAATTAATAGAACTGAGAGATGCATTTTCTTGAACTTCAGAAGACTGATCCTAACCTTTCAAGCAAGTATTTGGAATAAGAGCTGCCCTTTATTTATATAGCTTTGTAAAGTTTACAAAGTCTTTGATGGTGTTTGAGCCTCTGTGGGGTAGGTACTACAGGTATTATTCTCATTTTTTCAGTCTTTTTCAGTTGTGTCTGAGGAAACTGAGGAAAATAGAGTTAAGTGACTTGCCCAGGGTCACACAGCTAAGAAGGGTCTGAGACCAGATTTGAACTCAGGAACATGAGTCTTCCTGCCTCCAGACCCAACACTGTCTACTGTGCCACCTGTCTCTCAATATCCTTATTTTACAAATGAGGAAACTTGTCAACTAACTCATAGGATTCAGACCTAGGTCTTTCTGACTCCAATCCTAGCACTTTATATTATGCTAAAAATGCTGTAAGAGCCATTAAAATAGTAGAAGTTATATATAATTTGCATTTTCCATTTTAAAAACGTGGCTTGTTTTTGTCATTTTAGAAAAATCAAGGAATATTATCGATCAAAAAGGCTGGTGATTAAGCACATTACTGAAGAAGAATACAGGGAGCAAGCAGAAATTGAGACAGCCAAAGCATTGCAGAGGTTGCGTGAGTTTTGCCACAGCACAGACTTCCCATCGTGGTTAACTGTGTCCAGACTCCAGTCCCCAAAAAAGTAAAAGAAAATTCCATCCTTTTTAAAAGCTTTCTGTGTTGCTTAGGCACTAGGATTGGATTAGATGGTTGAAGTTTCCTTCTGGCTCTGGAGCCTACGGTTGTCATTGGGTTGGTTAGACTTCTGTGAACATTATGGTTTGTGGAGTATAGCCACTTCAGATAGGAAATAGAGACTAGATTAGTATGCTTAGTATTTTGCTTTCCATTCAAAGGAGAAGAGAGCAGATCCATTCTTCCACAGATCCCTTGACATATTGACAGAATTGTTCCAGGCAGGTTAAATATTAGTTTGATCTACTTTATAGGCAAGATTTTAAAAAACAACTTTCAGGTGGGAAGAAGTAAAGTTCGTGGGATATAAAGCTGTTACCTTCCTGAAATACTGGAAATTATCTCTGAATTCACAGTGAATCATTCTTTTCCCCTCCCTTCCCTTCCTCCAACTTTCCCTTACTTCTTTGGCTCATATTAAATGCCAAAACATTAAAATTAAAGAAAAATATGGACTGAGACTTAATTGATATTAGGAACTTTCCCAAAAGAAAAAGTCCTAATGCAGACTGGCACTTGCTCTTGGAGATTTTCCTGGGATCACTGAAATTAAATCACTTGCCCAGGTTCACATGGCCAATGTATGCCAGAGGACAGGCTTGAACCCTGGTTGTCATGATTTCAAGGCCATCTGTCTATCCGCTATGTGTTGTTAGTTTAGAGTTTACTTTTTATTTTTTAAAAAATAAGAAAAAGGAAAGGAAATAGAGTGAAGCTAATACATTTGACCATCTTGCATATTAATATGTTTTCTGATGCTTCCTGGAATGTATTTCTCCCGCAGTCACATAAACATCTACAATTTTTTACTTCCACTATGAATGCTCTTTGAATGCCACTCTAGACTGACACAAAGGCAAATTTAATTAAGGAAAACACATTGTCTGCTGAGTAAAACTTTCTGTGCTAATGTTAAACCTTGTTTAAAATATTTTTTTGGTAGGTTTGCAGAGTTTGTTTTGGGAGCAAGTCACCTGTCCCCTGAAGAAGTCAGAGCCCATGAAGAGCAGTATGGCATCGGAGGCTGGTTTTTGGAAGAGCAGCTCTTTAGCCCTGGTGGTTCCCAAGAGCCCAGTCCACAAGATGATTACCTTCAGGAACAGGAAGTAGTTGAAATGCAGGAAGTGTATCAAAGAGAGGAGGAACCATTGTAGGGAAAAACTACAGATGGGTCCCAAGGGAAAGGGAAATTAAACATTATAAATATCTTTTGTGCCGGGAAGTCATCCTTGCTGGCAAGTTCTGCTGCTTATTGTACTGTAGGTGGCAAGCAAGATTCTTTGAAAGATTCCTTCTGAGTTTCCTAGAATGGAAAGTCTTCCTGGGAACAATGAGAGGCTTTCTTTCTGCCCCTCAGGAGGTCAGCCAGCATGAAGAGGTGCCTTATCATTGTTGCATTAAGTCTTTCTCATGATCCTCACAGTGAAAGAAGCTGTCTTCTTCCAGAGAATCTCAGTTCTCAACTAGAGGAAGAGACCACTGACAATGTGACAGATAAGCTTTATATGCCATTCCTTATTTGGATTTTTCTGGTTTTAGGTGTATTGGATAAAGATTGATAATTTTGATAAAGGAAAACTCATTTTCCTATTTTTTCTATTTTGATAATATTTTCATGGAATGTAATTTCATGATATCAGGGTTACTTTTCATGTTTTACTTGAATAGTAATATTCAAGTAATGTTCGAGCATGTTTACCTTCTAATACTCAAATCATTTATTAGGGTGTTTTTTTTATTTTTTTGAGAAAGTGTGGCAAAGTGGGTAGAGAGCTAGCCTTGAAACCAAGATCTTGAGTCCATCCCACCTTTTGCATATGCTGGTTGTGTGACCCTTGACATGTGGACTTAACCTCTCAGGGCCCCAGGGAACTCACTAAGAGTGAAGGTATCATTTTGCCTTGATAGAGGAAGCTTCCTCACATGGGAGTTCCCTGTGCCAGTGAAATCACAGGTCCTTACCACATCCTATTTTTGTAGCAACACCTCATGGATCCATGGGAAAAGACCTTTGTTTTTGATTTTATGACATTAAACTAGAGAGGAAGAGAAATAAATGACAATATTTTGATAATGAAGGGGAAGAAGCCTGGAACTGAAAAAACTGTCCACAGGCTAATGGTCCAATAGCACTCATATTGCAGCATTAATTCCCTTTCAGTATTTGCCCTAGACCTTTGCTGTTCTAAAATTCACTAACATTTTCTTAAGCATTCTTAGGGAATCATCTTATCTGGAAGGAAGGACAAAAGGCAGGAGTGGGGTGGGGAAAATTAAAGCTGTGTTGCATCACTGAGCCAAGTCAGGGTAAAGTTTTGCTCTCAGTGGGTAATGACATAGGACTCAGAACTGGGGACTAATGCAGAAATGAATTTTTAAATGGTATTTCTTCAGCAAAATTGAATGTTTCTTTCTTCAAAATCTTTGTTTTTTTTTGATGATTTAATATTTTATTTTTTCCCCAATGACACATAAAAACAATTTTTAACATTTGTTTTTTAAAATGTTGAGTTCCAAGTTTTCTCCCTCCCTCCTTCCCCTCCCTTCTCTAATTGAGAAGGCAAGCAATTTGATATAGGTTATACATGTGCAATCATGCAAAACATATTTCCATTTTACTCATGTTATGAAAGAAAACAGACAAAAAAAAAGATAAGAAAAATAAAGAAAAAGTTTGCTTCTGTCTGCATTCAGACTTCATCAGTTCTTTCTCTGGAGGTGGAGAACATTTTTCATCATAAGCCCTTCAGAATTCTCTTGGATCATTGTATTGCTGAGAATAGCCAAGTTACTCATAGTAGATTATCATATGATATTGCTGTTACTATGTACAGTGTTCTTCTGGTTCTGCTCATTTCACTTCGCATCAGTTCATGTAAATCATCAGGCAACTTGTAATTAGGCAAATTAGCTTATGTCACACACATTCAGTCCACTCTTTCATGTGGTAGCCATTTATCAGTAAACCAAAGCAAGTATTTTGTCTTCTGACTTAATCAATACAATCTATTTTAATGACCATTTGTCGGTGTGCACAGGCACAGAACCATTGGAGTCATCATCTTAGTTTTAGACACAAGGTGAGACCAGGTGATCTTTTCTACAAATATATTTTCTGGTAGTATTTTGAATATATCTCCTGTGCCTGAAACAATCGTGGACATACATGTTGGTTGGGAGTATGTGATGCAGTTCAGAATATTCAGGGTAATGTGACTAGTCTAAGTAATTGGACTATATTATAGTAATATGACAGCGTTTACACTTTTGAAGCTCTGAAATTAAAAAAAAATTTTTAAACATTCTTTCAGAGAACATTTTTTATTGTTACCTTTACTTGAATAAATTTACTTTGATTACTATGGAAGTTGGATAATTAAAATAAAATGTGTGTGATTTTGTATGAGTGTTAATGTATTGTGTGTTTGCTTGTGCTGGAGGTTGGGGGGGACCATTATTATTATTCTCCCAATATGACTCATTACAGGCCACCCCCCACATCCCTACAAAAAGCCATAGGTAATAATCTTAATAAGGGACATTCTTGATATTAGTAGAAGGCTTAAATGACCTTTTGAAATAAAGATCTCCACCTCCACCCTTCACAGGCAGTTGAAGCTCTTGGTCTCATTCCTCACACCACCACTGAGGTGGGCAATTATCCAGCAGAATTGAACCCTTTCTCATGTGACACTGCTTACACAAGGTGCCTCACAAAGGCTTGCTGTGGTTAATGAGCTGGACTGTTTAGCCCAAAATTCATAGGTAGGCTGTTGTGTAGGTGGCCGTGTTTAAACAACTGACATTCAAACATCGTTTTGAAAAGTTCTTAAAATCTGTTTTATATGTCACCAAACTCTTTTGGGAAACAGTTGCCTAGTTTGTTAATGGTATTTAGGACTAACTCTCCAAGGGTGTACTCGTTTGACATTGGGGCAGTGTCTTTATCATCTTTTATTTGTCTAGAGCAGGGATTCTTAACTGGTTTTGTGTCATGCACCCCTTTGGCATTTTGGCAAATTCCTGTAATAATGTTTTTAAAGTAATAACGTAAAATACATAAGATTACAAAGGAAACTAGTTATATTGAAATTGCTATCAAAAAAATTTTTAAGCAGTTCACAGCCCTTGGGTTTAGAATCATCCAGATATTCGACATATTTATAGTTTTTAGATACTAGGGAGTAAATGATGAAAATGTAATATACCTGAATAGGTATATTGTGAAATATATTATTAATATTATATAATATATGTATTTATAATGTATACATATAAACAATAGGCTGTGGAGAAGTTGTAATGGAGAAGAATGATAAGAGAAAGGTGCAATAATAAGGCATTGTGACACAGTGAAAACAGCATTAGCTTTGGCATCTGGAGAGAGGTTCAAATCCTACCTCAGACACTCCCTGTGTGACCTAGAGCAACTTAGGTAACATCTCTGAGCCTCCAGTTTTCCTCAGCTGTAAAGTGAGGGTGTTGGATTAGATAGGCTCTTGGGCAGGCTTGTACTGGTAAAGGTTTATAACTTACTCTCAAAAAAAAAAGCATGCAGGACAATTTAAGTTGAATTTACATTTTAAACATTTTCTTCATCACTTGCTTAAGCCTAAACGGTCAACAAAACAATAAATTAAGCCTGGATTTGTACCATTCACCAATTTGTGAGGTGTAAATGCTCACACTGAAAATTTAACAGTTTGCTTTTAGAAGCTAGTTGGAACTGACTCCAGCAAACCACTTCTTTTGGGTAGCTTCCAAATCTAGGTCTCTGAACTTATGGTACTATGACACTTGGCACAGCCAATCAATAAACATTTATTCAGCACCTTCTAGAGGCTGCTAGTTGGCTTGGTGGATAGAGCACTGAACCTGGATTCAGGAAGACCTGAGTTCAAATGTGACCTCAGACACTTACTAGCTGTGTGACCCTGGGCAAGTCACTTAACCTCTGTTTGCCTTAGTCTACTGGACAATGGCAAACCACTCCAATATCTTTGCCAAGAAAACCCCATGGACAGCATTGGTGTGCTGTTGAGGGCCGATCTTAAAGAGTCTGATATGGGTTTAAGATCCAGGACAGAGTTTGACTTTTGCCCAGGCTTTTACCCAAAGGGCTCAATAATTAAGAAGCATGGCTCTCCAAATCTCTCCCTGTTAGGAGGCTCCTGAGACATTCCTTCTCACTCTGAACCTTAGATTTACATATTCACTTCTCCATACAGGCGGCAGGAAAAAGCCTTTGAATTTACAACCCTATCTAGGAACTCTGATAAGGAGGAAATGTATGTTATCCCATCCTTAGCAGACGTTTCAGGAGTGGCTCACAGGGAGGACTTCTTTGAAGTTAGGATGGATTTTCTCTATCCTGTACCCTCAGAAAAATAAACAGAGTCAGTTTTTCTGCTCCGCCTGGCCCACTTCTTCATGTCTTATTTCCCGCCTTTCCGTTTGGTGCACTGTCTGGTTGCGGGCAACAGTGTGCTGTGGTCCACGGGGTTAGGAAGAGCCAGACATGACTGTTACTGCTGATGCTCCCCGCCTCCTTCAGTTTGTACAAGAAAAGCCCATTTTAAAAAGTAATTCCTCTAGAATCAAACTCTGAGCTTGTCTCCCCTAGAAGATGTTGAGTTCCTTGAGGAGCCAGGGAGAACTGAGTTCTTATCCTGCTTCTAACACTGGTTTAACTATGTGACTCCAGACAGGTCATTCGGTCTTTCTAAGCCTCAGTTTCCTCATCTGTAAAATGAGTGGGTTGGATGAGAAAGCGTCAGAGGTTCCTTCCAGTTCTATAGCTCTGATTCTATGAAAGTGCTTCAGATAATCATGGGCTATAAAATCTGGATTATCTAGAATGTTTAGGGAGTGAAATATTTAGGGTAATTTATCTGATTAAGAAATTCTCCTTGGTCTTTTACCCTAGGCCAGGACCAATTTTCTGAGGAAACAGGCAATGCTTTCCCCTGTACTTAGTTGAAAATCTTTCTAAAGCACAGTAGGCTTTTCACTTTTGGTAACAGTTAGATGGCACAGTGGATAAAGTGCTAGGCCTCAAGTCAGAAAAACCCAAATTCAAATTCAGCCTCAGACACTCACTAGCTGTATGACCCTGGGCAGGTCACTTAACCCTGTTTGCCTCAGTTTCCTCATCTGTCAAATTAGCTGGAGGAGGAAATGGCAAACTATTCCTATATCTTTACTAAGAAAATCCCAAATGGGGTCCAATTCTTTGTGACCCATTGGGGTTTTCTTGGCAAAGGTACTGGAATGGTTTAACGTTCCTTATCTATGGATTAAGAAGAGTTATTTGTAACTATTATGTGTATGCAGATGTGTTTAAGATCTAAGAATTTATAAGGAAAGGACCTTAAAGATCATTTAGTCCAACCCCATCATTTTACCTGTCAATCAAATGTTTACTGAACACCTACCATGTGCCAGGCACTGTGCTATGTCCTGGGGATACAAAAAGAGGCAAAAGACAGTCCCTGCCCTCAAAGAGTTTATATGTCAAAACTGAGGCTGAACAGGGAGGTTCCAAAGGTGCCCAAGAAGTGGTAAGTAGCAAAACCACAATTAGAACCCAGGTCCCCTGACTCCCAGACCAGAGTTCTTTCCATTATACCATGTGATTGTTTTCATTAAAATCTCTCATATATATATCTAGTGTTAGAAGTTTGCACATAAGTAGTTGTTTGCATGTTGTCTTCTCCACTAGATGATATCTTTGAAATCAGGGACTCTTTTTTTTTTTGCCTTTCTTTGTATCCCCAGTACTAGCACAGTGCCTGATACACAGTAGGTGCTTAATTGGCTATTTGACTGACATCATTATTATTATTAAAGTGAGATGGCTGTCTGGGAGGGAAGAAGGGAGAGGAACACTTTGGAAAATACAGGTGATATTAAAAAAAATCAGTGAGGGTAAGGAATAAGCACTTAGGGGTATTGAAGGAGGACTAGCACCCTTGGTGTGAGGGTTGCTCATCCACCTTTGGTGTCCACCTGTCATCTAATTCTCACCTGTGACTCCAAGAAGCATGCACAGTGGCCACATTGCAGTAAAACCCTCTTGGCAGGTGGGCTAAACCAGGTTGAGGGTAACCAAGAGGCCTCGAGCCCATCAGAGTTAGGGAGGTGTCTACCCCAAGCATGTGAAGATTTTCCCTGGCTGAACTGGTGGACAAAAACAATTTATTTGGATGGTGGCCATGAAGGCGGCTCAAACAGGCATTGTGGATCTCTTAGAGCTTGGTCAATTCTTGAAGATTCCAAGGTCATCCACTACATTCTGTGCCACTGCCAATCATCCTGACTTTTGTCTTGACACTGGACTTTGATGACTCTGGAAGAAACAGTGAGGCTGATGACCCTGCAACTCTGCCTCACTTAAATCTAGTTCACATGTGTCAAGATATCACCCAATAAGGTCATTGGCCCTCTTCGAAAATAAAGGATAAACAACAATTATGTGCCAGGCCCAGTGCCATGC